ATTGTTGTGCTAATCCTCAAATCAGTTTTCTAGGTGTGCAAGATAGTTTCGTGTTGCTCTGGCCACAATTCAGGGGCAAGAGACGCAAAAAAAACTTCCATGCTATTCTACCATCTTGGCCCCTCCCCCTCAGTTGCCTCATCTATAAAGGGGGCTAATGATACTTACTACCTCATAGGATTGCTGCAAGGACTGAATGACATAAAGGGCTTCAAACAGTAGAGGCTCAATAAATGTTAGCAATTATCATCCCCATTATCATTCCTCTCTGTGAAAGAAAAATAAGGCAGAATGAATACTGAAAGGTCAAGGAGCTCTTCACATAATTATTTTCTAAATTAGATGGCCTCTGTGCCTAGACTCAAGAATATTGTTAATCAATGACTATAGTTATTTCTATCTCATATTGTTCTGTTATCTGCCAGTCAGCTGTAAACTCCTGATGCCACTTTTTGTGTTCTACCACCACCACCTACTCTTGAGCTGACAACACTATGCACAGTGCATAGTCCAATGGAGATGTTCCACTATTTAGTGATAAGCATCTTGTATACTAATGTTTGCATAACTGAATAAATATATGTTGAACAAATGGTTCTTTCCCCCACTTTTCAATGTAAATCTAAAATTGTCTTATTACATTTCAAATATGTTTTTAGGAACTTGGAAATCTTTCTGTTTACTCTTAAAATAAAGTGTTGCCAATATACGTTCTCCATTATTTTATCCAAGACGAGTCAGAGTCAATGAATATATTTTGCAAGTATGAACTCCTGTGCAAAACATACCCCAATACACCAACATAATCGATCAATTCTGTGAAAATTAAGTCAAGCTTCTAATTAATCACTTGCAATAATTTTATTTTCTTATTACATTCTGGTACCAAGAGGCAGGCAGAGCTAAAAGTATTTCATTTAACTCATCATTCTCCCAATAAAGGTGAAGAACTGTGGATTGTTTACTAATTCATGTTAAAATTGATCCTGAAAACTTATCTTGCTAAAATTTGGTAGGATAGAGGAAGAGGGGAAAATTCTGAATATATTCACTCTCTTTAATTAGTTTTTTGCATGTGTTCAGAATATCCCAGACACTTTGAAGAAAAGGTGACTGACATAAATATTGGTTGGAGATAGGGTTATAGCTAATCAACACATTTTCCAATATGATCTACTAAGGACATGGCCACTCTGTAAGGCTGTTTAGGGTACAAAGTCAGGTAAAAACCAAGATGTTGCTGAATGAAGAAGAAAAATATAAGTTAAAAAAAAAAGGTCGAGGCGCCTGGGTGGCTCAGTCACCTAATTAAGCGCCCGACTTCAGCTCAGGTCATGATCTCACAGTTTTGGGGTTCAGGTGCCTCACTGGGCTCTCTGCTGACAGCTCGGAGCCTGGAGCCTGCTTCAGATTCTGTCTCCCTCTCTCTCTGCCCCTCCCCCACTCATGCTCTGTCTTTCTCTCAAAAATAAATAAACATTGAGAAAAATTTTAATTAAAAAAAATTAAAAGAGACAGTAAGACCAACAATAACCATGGTAAATGGGCGGCTCAGTTGGTTAAGCATCCAACTCTTGATATCGGTTCAGGTAATGATCTCATGGTTTGTGAGATAGAGCCCCACATTGGGATCCATGATGAATGTGGAGCCTGCTTGGGATTCTCTCTCCCCCTCTCTCTCTGTCCCTCCCAAGCTCTCACACACACACATGCTCTCTCTCAAACAAACAAAAACAACTACCTATGCTTGGGAGTGAAGCATCTCTGATATCTGTGTTACCCTAACACTAGTGCCTCCAGACCCCCAGGGTCTCCAAAGATGACCATGGAGAGGTATATGAAGTATTTCAAAAGGCCAATGGAATTCTACTTGAATACTCTGTCATACCATTATTTCCCTGAGAGTCAATAAACAGTTAATTTTAGCTCAGTGTGAAATTGACTTCTAAAATTTGCTAGGCTTCATAAACATTGACTTATTAGGTTCTAAGTAATCCCATTATCCCCCACTTTACAGGTGAAAAAAAAAGAAGATAACAGAGCTTAAGACCATATCCTTAAGAAATTGCAGAACTGGAACTCAACATTCATCCCTCACCCCAGAATAATCCCTGATATTTTAGAGTAGAGATTAATCTTTTCAAGGAAGGTCAGAGACATTCTATAGGTGAAAGAGAACCCAAGAAAGAGCCCACCGTGGAGAGTGTGGGAGTGAGGGAGGGAGAGGGAAGAGGTGAAGAATGGGAGAGACTGAGGACCATAAACCTTGCTCCACGCAGGTCCTACTGGAAGAATCACATGGCTATTAAGACAGAAAAAAATCCACCGTTCTCACTAAATCTTGCCCTCTCACCTTGACCCAGATTTCCCAAGAAGACAGAGCTCTTGCCAAAGGTTAAATCTGCTTATTTCTTTTCCAAAGGAATTTTCCAGCTGGGCCCTATCACTCTCCAAGATGGGAGCCTTAGGCCATGAAATTGGCTGTCCACTCAGAGCAAGAGAGATGCCCACAACTGGAGATCCTATAAAATGTGTTATTAAGAGCAAAGGTAACAGGAGAAGGCAATTAGAGGGAGAAAACCCCCAGATACCTGCTCTCTGGAGTCATGATTGTCATGGAGTTTTTGTCCCTGCTAATTTCATGCTCCACCTTGCCATGTCCCTTCTGGATCCATTCC